AAACCCCAAGCACAAAGCAGGCTGGACCCGACTGTCTCTCTGCCCCAGCGCTTGTCAAAAACCCAGACTGTGCCCAACAGACATATGGCTCATCTTTGGACAGTTTGGCAGCCCAACATCTGTCCACTAACGATTTTATCACTTATCCTAGTGCCATTCCACATGAAAATGTGCTGGTGTTCGGCCACACTGCAGACCACATCAACTTTTTCAGTGCCAGGGAAAAATTTAAGGGGATGAGTCTAGATGGGAAAACTCACTGTACTGCAGCACAGCAGTCGCACCAGCTGAAGAGTTGTGGCAAAGAAAACCAGCCACCACTGCAGGAGGTCTCCACCAGTGAGGGGAAGGATGAAGGGAAAAGAAAGGTAAACAATGCTTGTAGCAAACTTTCCCAGACAACTCTAAACATTTCCCGATTTGGGCCGCATATAGTCTCCACCCGTGCTCTGGCAGTGGGCTCGGGTTGGCTGTGTATAATGTAGCCACATGTATGGATGTTATGATCTGTTTCCAGGCTGCTCTTGTGTGAGATACTCACAAAATATGAAATATTTTTACATATATATTTAAGATACTTGGGACTGAACTGAACCCATAACAGTTCCTGTCAATCTTACCAGATTTATTCAGAATGGTTTTTGGTTCTTAAGCTATGTTGCGCCACCTGGTGGCACATCTGTCACAAATACATTGTGATTGTAGCAATGCTTTCATTGTGCTTTTAAATTAATGGTCTTTTATATTATATCGATTTTTTTTTCCAGAAAATGCCTGTGCAGGTCACAGGGCTGAGGCCCAAAGAGACTTCGCCTCTTGGCTCTGATAGCCAGACTGAACCTCAAGATCCCCAGGATCAGGATGTGAGGAAGTTGAAGCAGGAAATTGAAGATAGTGTTGTTCTGGCACACAAGGAATCTGGGGATATAAAAACAGAATTGAAAGAGGAGGAAGAGGAGGCCCCCGCCTGTCTTTACAGTGACTGGACACGAGGGTCGGTGCGACGTGTTACACAGCAGCTGGAGCAAAGAATGAAACAGGAGCATGAGACCCCGCCTCTCTCTTCTTCACCGCCTTCTCTCTCTGGCTGTACCTCCAACTCTCACCGGCGTCCACACAGCATCCATTGTGCAACGTTGTCTACTTCCCACGATGCATCTATTTGCTCACAGGCATCTGCAGTTCACACGGTGCACAAGGATGAGGGAAAGGAGGATGGGAAGTCTGGACCAGCTGAAAGTGAGGGCACTCATGCTGCGATGGCGGCCCTTGGGTATAACGAAAAAAGCACAAAAGGACAGAAACTCCAGCCTGCTGAATCTAGATTGCTCTCTACCTCTTCTCCTTTCCACCACTCTCCCCATTCTCCCTTTGCGTCTGTGAACTTCCTGTGTCTGGAGGGCGTCACTGAGCTCGAGTCGGGCACAGACTGGGATTGTCCCACAGAAGGACCCCACAGTGACATTTTCAAGAGGGAGACGTGGGAGACTTTGTGTGAGCTGGGTGCCTTCCTGCAGCAGGTGAGCATGGCTGGAAAGTGCAAGGCCAGGTGTTTGGGTCAGGCGCAGAAGCGAGGTGGCAGTATCCAGAAGAGGGTTCAAGAGGTGGAAGCCAGGATTCGTCAGGCAGGGCTGACCCCTCCATCCATGATGAAGCGCTCAGCCTCCCTGGCTAAACTGGGCTGCTTGGAGCTGCTCGCCAATGACTTGAGTGACTGGGAACTTAGCCGTTCCACTGTAGCTTCACCCTCGGCACAACACCCACTCCATTCAGCCAGCGACGAATCCAAGAAGCAGCGGGTTCACAACTCTCCTTCCTCCACTGTCCAGCAGCCAGAGATCCTTGAGACAACCACTCAGAGGCTTCCTAAAGCTGGAGAAACCTCAGCAGTCTCTGCACCATCAAATCCGAATCCTCACAGTGGAAAGCCTTTAAACTTTGGCCAAGAATCTCTGCACTTGCCTGGGCCAACACTTCTGACAACAAGGCAGCAATACGGAAGGACTCACCCGCTGAGGCGGCTTAAGAAGAGAACTGTTAGCACCCTTTACCACACCATGTAACCCTCAGCAGGTGTGCATCTGTGTACGTGTGCATGAGAGAAAGAGAGAGAGATAACGTGCCCGTCAGAAACGAAAGTCAAGTGCATATTTTGGATTTATTTAGCAAAACAAGCCGACGCCTCTTGCCTTAAGGGATGTGTTTAGTAGTTTTTTTTTTTCCCCTCTTCTGTAAAAATCCGTGATATGGGAATCTGGTCTCGGCACAGGAAAAGCGGCAAGGCTACGACAGTCCCAGTTAACTGAGACTGAAATAAAACACTTTGAGAAGATAAAACAAAAAAAGAAAAGAAAATGTCATCCAGAGATGTACATGGGTCACATGTTTGAAATGTTAATAATACCCAAGCGTGCACATACTCATCACATCGTTGCTGGTTTCTCCTTTAGTCGACTTGATATTTTTGGCTGTCAAACGTAATGTTAGCTGGAATGTAGCCTCTGTTTCCCCTCTTCTCATGCTTTGACGTCTCTTCAGAAAAATGTGCCATTTATGCTGGAGAAAACGGTCCCTCTTGTATAATCTGGTAACTATGTTGGCAGAAAGAAAGAAAGAAAGAAAGAATAAATAAATCACACCAACACCTGCTTGTCAAACCGGCTGATTTGGTCCTGAGCATAAAAGTCGTTGGACGGAGACTCTTCGTCGCGACAGAATAATTCCAGTGAAAGTCAGTCGTGAAGCTCTGACTCTTCCCTCAGTGTAAGCTGCATATGCAGGTTTTCACCAGTTTATTTGAGCATAATGAAAAGAGAAGAGGCCTGCTTTTTGTTTAGTTTGTTTTAACTACACAATACCTCAGTAAGTCAACCAAATCTGACCTGCACAAACATCCGACTCCGGGTTCCTGGAATGTACTTCTCAATCAGAAACACGTTTGACTTCATCACTCAGTAAACTGTCTCTCCTCACACTCCAGATGCCACACAAACTAGAGTTTTGTTTATGTTTAACTGTGTGAGAGAGAGTAGGTCAGGGTGCTGGGGTTTAAAGGCAGAGTGTATATTTGTGAGTTTTTGGCTATGTTCTCTTTGGGGATGTAAAGGTTGTATATTGTGACTGTTGATATTTTAGGATCTCCCTGTTTTTTGTTTGTTTTTTAGATCTGGTTTGTCTGTGTGAGTGAGACTGTGTAGCACAACTTTACCAAGTGAGCGTGCACTTTTTTTATTTTATTTTAATGGATCTTTATGTCTTTTGTAAACTTTTTAGGAGCGTGCCTGTGATTGGCAAGTAAAGCTTCTCTGCAGCCTATCAGAAATGTCTGTACAGAGACGTGTGTCATACATGCACTTTACTCCCTTTTTAATTTTAATTGTGGCTTTTTTTTTTAAGTGTTTTGCTACTTTGGGGGAGCATGCTTATGTAGTAGGAACTGTTGGGTGTGTGTGTATTGTCTGTGTAAATATTATTTTATATCACGTGCTTTAACTGTGACCATTAAACAATGGGAAATTAAGAGTCGGGCTTACTGTGATTCTTTCCCTCACGTTTTCTTAATGAACAAACTAATTTGGCTTCATTCTACATACATTCACAGTAAATGTCAATGTATGTAAAAATGACTCTTCCTGTTTTTCTCTTAGTCAGCTACACCGTTTAGCATTTTTCAGCCTTTTTTTTTTTTCTTTTTTTTTGACTCATTATCCTGCTGGAAGCAGCTATCAGAAGATGGGTCATAAATGAATGAACCTGGCAACAGTACAGTAGGTAGGCTGTGGTGTTTAAATGATGCTAAGTTGGTACTAAAGGGTCCAAAGTGTTCCAAGAACATATCCCCCACAATATTACACCAGCAGCCTGAGTCAGTTTTACAAGGCAGATTGGATTCATGCTTCCATGGAGTTTATACCTCATTCTGAACCTACCATCCAAATGTTGCTGCAGAAATCAAGAAACTCAGACCAGGTGATGTTTTTCTAACATCTAATTTAAGTGACTCTCTGTGATCATTTCCTGTTTCCTTTCCATCTGCTTCAAGGTCAGCATATGTTCAGAGATGCTCTTCTGCAGACCTAAAATATTCTGGGCGTTCTCACTTGACCTTTGACATCAACAAGGCATTGATCACTAGATATTTTGTCTGTTTTTGGATGATTCTCTATAAACTCTAGAGACGGTTGTGTGGGATAATCCCAGTAGGTCAACAGTTTCTGAAATGCTCAGACTAGCTCAAACAACCATGCTTGTCTACATAAATGTATTGAGTTGCTGCCATGTGATCGGCTAATTACATTGCACAAATGAGCAAGGTCGAAAAAACAGTAACTTAAAGATTTTTTTTATGTATACTGACATGTTTGGTATTTACAGTCAGAGGTAAAGTTAATGCATTTTAAATGTAAAGCCGTTTGAAAATGACATTTTGGTTTGTTTTGTCATTCTAGGTTTTTATTAGTCAAGCATTTTGCTGTTACTGTGAACAAATTTCACACTTTGGCTCCACAGTAAAAAAAAAATAAAAAGGCACAAGCAGGACCTGAAACCAGTAATGTATTCTGGTTACCATCACATACAGATCTTCAGACCTTGAGCACAAACATGATGCCGTGTTAAATTAACGGAGCGCAGGAAAGAAATCTTTTCTCTGATGTTCTCTTTTTTTCTCTTTGTTTTGAATCAATTGTCAGCCGCAGTGCAATTAAAAACAACCTTCTTTTGGACAATAAGTGCCCAAATAACTTCCCGGGGGTGTTCACAGTGGCTGCCCAACATCCAGAGTTGTCAATAGAAGGACCTTAAAAGCAGCTTTGGAAACCAGCTCAGCTGAGCGGTGTGCTCATTTACCAGTTTAACTCATATTCATCTATCCCAAGCAGTGACCCCGGGAACGCGCTCCCCCACTTGTCAAAGGCGCACCTGTTCCAAAATAGACGGCACCCACCCTGCACCCATCCACCCGCACCCTCCCCCTTCTCTCTCTCTCCTGCTCTGCCCCCGGCATCTCCCCTCTGTCTCTCCCTGCCGAAGACCGTAGCGCAGTTTTCCAGCTCTCTCCTCACTAAAAGTCCGCACCGACTCCGGGACAGCTGATTGCAGGGAATATAATCCAAAAGGAATAAAGGCAGCAGAGGGAGAGGGTGGAGGAGGAGGAGTAGCAGTCCATTCGACATAAACCGTGACCGTTATCCAGGGAAGTGGGGTCTCCCCAAAACCTGAGGTGAGACTGTGTTTCTTAATATGTGTGTCGGTGTCTGTGCTGCAGTGGGGCGAGAGGTGCGTCAGCTTCTTTACTGCGCAGCTGGAGAGGAACGAGCGCGTCCTTACATTTGGAAACCCCGAAAACACAGCCGGGACGTTGTGACTATGCACTTTTCTGCCTCTGGCAACTGATCTTAAGTCGTGCATGCTGTGGCAGCTGCGGGATACTTTAAGGAGTACTTTGTACATGACTACCCCCACCACCTCCACCTCCTCCTGCGCCCCTGCCAGTCTCTGTTCCCGTGTTTTATGCGTTTTTCTGCAGGCTGTGCGCAGTGGCAGATCAGATTTACAGTCAGCTCATTAGTGATAAAACGACACAGGGTGCGGGACCTTCTTTCTGGAACCATTTGGGATCGCCGGGGAGGAGCGGCCGGCCCGGGTAGGACAGTGCAGTTTGTCATGTCTATATTAGGAAAGTGCCAGTGTCATTCTTTCGCTGTCTGGATTCTCCAGGGCCGTGCCATGCGCGACAGAGCAGACCCATCTCATTAACCTGAGGCGGAATTAATAGCAAGAGGTTTTTCACAGATGCTAAAATCTACTCTTTGCCTCAGTTTTAGTTTGGCTTATATTACATGACAAGACATTGACAGTAGAGCACAGAAATCAGTGTACTTAGAAAAAGAAGCATTAGACCAGGAGAACGTCATTATGTGATCATTAACAGTCTTTTCTTTCTTTTTCTTTTCTTTCTTTTTTTTTTGACATCCTATTGTAAAAACTATATAATATGTATAATGAGGTGTTAAATGCCCCACTGTTGGCTTTGCTGAAGTGGTCTCTGGGATGTGACTCTTTCACAGAGGTTCCAGGAGCTTCTTTCCCCTCATAAGTCAACTTTGGGGCAGATTGTGATATATCCTACTGTGAAAGTCAGACAGCATCATTGACAAAGGTTTTATCTGAATAGTGAAAAGTCTAATGCTTAGAGTTTAATGTAATCCTGCTAACACACAGAGTCACTGCATTAGTCAGATCTCTTAGGGGCCCCATACAGACCTACTTTTAGACTAGGGCTTTCAGTTTTAGCCTTATGTAAGCCAGTGGAGTCTGCAAGTATGTTAGGTCTGTTTGAATCGGCATATTCTCACAGGAGTTGTGTGACTGAAGTGCTGGGCTGTGACACTGTATCTGTCAAGTTCTCTCCCCCTCCTACCTTTTATCTGTTCTCTGTGTCTTAGTGTTTGTCTTTGATGTTTGGCTGCCACATAGTGTTTGGTGGGACAATCACCTATTAATATCTGCAGTAATGGCAAGGACTGTTACAGAATATCCCCCGGTGTTTCGGAGGATTACAGTCCGGTTGGCCTTTTGCCTGCGACAGCCACAGGATAGCAACAAACAGCCTAAGATCAAATTACAGAATTCATCATCATTTACAGGAGAAAAAGTCACAGTGTTTGAAGCAATTAAAATGTTTATTAAGAAACAAGCAACACTGATGTTAGTATTAATCATTGTAGAGCATGATTAGACTATAATGAATCGGTGTCACTTAAAAAGCATGCAAACTCAGTATAACTAATATAAATAATAAATAAGTCATGAACTTTGTGTGCTGTGGCAAAATAAGTGAGCTCTTCTTATTTATTTACTTAATAGACTTTTTTTTTAATTAGAAGCTCAGAAATTGTAATGTTGAAAATAATAGTAACAACATACAGCAACAGCAACAGCACAGTTTTTGTACAAACCACTGTGAGAACTGTCCACACACAGAAATCCATCCATGTTCTTAACTGCGTATCTAGTTCAGAAGTACACCCTGGACAGGTCACCAGGCAAATACCAATGCTAACACAGAGACAATCATTCACACCTATGACACATTTAGAACCATTAATTACCCTAACACTTATGTCTTTGGACTGTGGGAGAAAGCCAGAGTACCCGGAGAGAAGCCATGAAAGCACAGAGAGAACATGAAAACTCCACGCCAAAAGTTCAAACTCAGAAACTTCTCACTGTGAGGCGGCAGTCAGAAAATCAAGTTGTCATTTTTAAATGAAACAGTGCAGAAAATGTAAATGGAAATACGATATTATTAAGTCTGTTAAGTTTGCAGTTTAATGTGAAAGAACCTCAAGCTTACTGCCTAACAGTAATTATGAAAAAGTGAGTGTAATACAAAAAAACTGCTTACACAGCCTACTGTGTCATAGACTGTACAAGCAGGTTCTACCAGTCCAGGTCGCCAGTCCATCGCAGGACATGTCAAAGAACAAACTTTCAATCTCGCCATTCTGCACCTGCTTCATGTTGTAAAAAATAACGCTTTATATAACTTTTGACTATCCTGTATTTATGTTTGATCTGCAAATACTTTCAACGAATAAAATAAATACCAAAAAGAGGTTAGTTAGTCATTTTCAACTTTCAAAACAGCAAAAACTGCCTAAACATATTACAGTAGTAATTAAGCATTAAATAAGCAGTTATATAAATACTTAAACCCACAGATTAAAAGCACAGACTGAGGCATGTGCTTCACTGTAATTAACAGATTTCTCTGTTGTCTCCGTTTATGACACATCATTCCAAATGAAATCCCCTGAAATCATTCATGTACAGCAGACACATTAAACTCCTCAGATAGCTCTACTTTTTCATCCTCTCCTTCCTTTATCTTTATCTAAACTTTCATCGCCGCTCTCTGCGGTCTCTAATTCTTCTTCATTTCTTTCCTGTCTGCCCTCTCCTTTCCTCAGCCATGAGTCGCAGCATCGTGCGGCAGAGCAAGTTTCGTCACGTCTTCGGCCAGGCGGTAAAGGCTGAGCAGGGTTACGATGACATTCGTGTGTCCAAGGTGACATGGGACAGCTCCTTCTGCGCCGTCAATCCAAAGTTCTTGGCAGTCATCGTTGAATCCAGTGGAGGAGGAGCGTTTCTGGTCCTGCCCCTTTCTAAGGTCAGTAAAGGTCAGAGGGTTGGAGGGATTCAAATGTAACACTCAAATATCTGACATGTTTTTAGCTTTTTTGTGCTTGAATCAATTCTCAGTCGACCAGCGTTCCAATAAATCACAATAAAAATTAATAGCACCTCATTTGCTTCTCCGTGTGATGTAGAATGTAAATGAAAGTGTGACTGTAATAAGCTCTGTTCTGGGAAAAAGGATTTCTAGGAACATTGACAGCATGGCTCTACATGTCTCATGCTGATCTGTAGGAGTATCTAAATGACTGACATTAAATCATGTACAGATATTCATGATCTACATTAGATGAACTCTGGCTGATCAACTGGCTCTTTCTTTCTATTTATATCGAGCTATTTATGGTCGTTGAGCTGCTGAGTGGTGTTTGTGTGCGTGTTGCAAGCAGATATACTTTTATTACGTGTTTGTCTGTGTTTTAAAAGAGAAACAGCAGACTATTATTGCTCTATAAGAGGAAGAAAAGAAAAAGAAGTGCATATCTGGTGCTTTTCTGGATGTTGGTGTACGTGAATTGGCATTGTTAAGTGAAAGCACTGCTTAAATGAGTGTGGACACTGTTTTTGATGTGTGTAATTTTGCCTAAAGTTTAAATACACAACTTTTACAGCAGGAAATCCAGCCATCCAATAAATAGTATCCTTAAAGAAGAACACTCAGAATTAGATCTTAAAAACAGCAGAAACGGCAAACTACAAACAGCTTATACACTTTGTTTTTGTTTCTCAGTGTTGCTGAAGCACAGTGATCAGAGGTGGACTTTCATTCATGAGTGTTAGTCTCAGTAAAAGACTGTCTGGTAGTATTTAGCTTTCGCTAGGAGCTGAAGTGTTGCTTGTATACGGCAAGGTTTTTGGCAAATTCCTTTGTCCTGTGGTCCAGTAATTATTTTGAAATACACAGAAGAGTCAGTGTTTGATCCTTTGAGACATGCAATTCATAAGAAATCAGCTGCTTTTCTTAGACGTGATGCTAACAGTGCAAGCTGACACCAGAAATGTAGTTAACTTGTGTGAATATTTTACTGGGAGGGTAAAAGTGACCCAGTGATCCTGATATTGGTTAGTGAAATGTGTTTAATTCATTTTCAGGGCTAAGTTGGATAAATATATTTGGATTTGGGTTTTATTTCAGCGTGATGTAACATCCACCTTTGATTTACATCTAACGTGGTGAGAGTTCATGCTCGAGCTCAGCGCACTTCACACTGTTGTAATAAGACTGCAGAAATTAAACTGAACTACACAGCCAATCACTGCCCAGAGTTACAAGAACAAGTTAACATTATCCAGTCTAGAAATTTGGGGGGAAAATTGGACTTCGTGTTTTAAGCTTACACAAAGGTTAGTATTTCAGCTCGACTACAAAAGGTTAAGCGACCGGTTTTTACATTTCCGAGATTTAAGAAGAAGACATAAACAGTATGTGGGTGTAATAAGGTCATACCTGGTGGGATTCTTCAGCATCTCAGAGGTGCTAATTAATGAAAAAGAGCAGCAGGACACAAAGCAATGCAGAGGTTTTTTTGAGGCACTAAGGGAATGGACATGATTATTTACTGGAGTCACGGTGAACAGACGCGCTATTAATACACACCAATGTGCTCTCCATCCTCCTCTTCCCCCCACTGAGTCCCCAACAGGCCACATTAAAAACTCCCCTTTCAACGCCTCGTCACTCGGCTATAAATACACCACTCTTGGAGTGTGACTGAGTGTGTGTCAGGACGGAGTTATATCTAAGAGCTGATACACATGTTCACATGAAAGGAACCATGGGAACAGGGAACATGGGAACATTGGGTTGTCTTCAAACATCTGCTTTTGAGACAAGTTTCAAAAGGTTCTTCCTGCCACATCTGGTTCACTTAAGATCAGAAATACACCTTTGAGAAAAATATTTGATGGTATTAAATATGTTTTCTCAAACGGTTGCCCATTTCCAATCTATATTAGCTTAAAAGGAGCTCTCCAAATATATCCAACTAAATCTCAGTCATGTACAGTCATCTGAAGAATAAAGTACACCCTATTTCAATTCTATGAGTTTATGTATCAGGAAATAGACCTGAACAAAAATCTCTTGGCCCATCACAGCTCTTGATCTCACATATAACATCTACTTATTCTTGAAAACTAAGAGTCTTCCACTGAGGAAGATGGTAAAAATCTGGAGAGCAGCTATTAAAACGGACCTCATGGTTATACCCACTATGTCTGAGATCAAGAATTAACTTTTAAGCTAATTATTCCAGGACTGTTTCACATTGAGGGAAAATAGTTGTTTTAATTTTTTAACCTAGCTGTGCTGATGTCTGACTGGGCTTAAGGCTATTATTTTGACCTTTTTTAAAGAAATGAATGAATATTGATTATTAATGGTGACCCGTTATACAAACACAGTCCTAACTCAGTCCTCTGTGTTGCAGACAGGTCGTGTGGATAAGAACTACCCGCTGGTGATTGGTCACTCTGGACCCGTCCTGGATATCGATTGGTGCCCTCATGACGACAATATCCTGGCCAGTTGTTCGGAGGACTGCACTGCAATGGTAATGTGTGTGTGTGTGTGTGTGTGTGTGTGTGTGTGTGTGTGTGTGTGTGTGTGTGTGTGTGTGTGTGTGGGTGGGAGAGACAAGTTGCAGATGCATGTGGAGGAGTTTGTTATTCAGTGACTCAGATAGCAGTCATAGAGGTCTTCACAGCTTGAGTTTGTCACGTCTTCCTGCTTCTTAAATGAACAACAAGTTAAGAGAACCAGTCTACGCGTCAGTGCGTCTACCTGTCTGCATCTCCACCCACCTGCTCTGCGTCATCTCTATCTCTCCATCAGGCCACGCATGATATTTTGTAAGGCTGATCAAAGCATTCTGCCTGTGACCGGCTTCATTGCTGTAATGCATCTACAAACCTATGGCATCCACAATACGACAGCTTCCTCATGACCTGTTTCCCTGCTTGTTGTCAAGTATTTTCCTATCAGTATCCTATCATATCGGGCAAAACTCTCGTCAAACATGCAGGAAATAAGGAGACGTGAGCAAGAAATATGGAAAATAGTTAAAGTATCGGTATCTGCGATCATGTCCTGCTCCATCTGGTGCTGATCACCTCACATCAGCAGGAATGGGATTTTAATATGTTAAAATCACGTCACCTTACTGATTATGTGGCTTACCTTTTCCATATTGTTTAGCAGCTGGGGCTTTGTAAACACACTTTGCATTCTCATCTTACATTATTGTTGTTGCTGAGTTTAGGATGGCAGACGGAAACCAGAAGAGTTTTAGAGGTGTTTGTGATACACTGCAGATGTCTCATGACTGAGTTCAGTCAGCAGGGGTCACTGTGAGGTCTTTATATTTCTGTGCCATGATACTTGCCTGTTATGAAAGCACTTGATGTGAAACTAAACAAGGTTATACATCCTTTAAACCCATTATAGCAGCTGTTTTTTTTTTTTTTTAACATTTTATAATCCATGACATTTTGTGTGTCCCAGCTAATTTTACTATTCAGCATTCCTGCGCTGTTTCAAATTTCTTCTAAGACTGTGTTAAAATAAATAATGCATATTTGTGGTCCTTGTTCTGGAGTTAATTTAGATATAAACAGGCTTCAGCTCTTCAGATAAGACTAGTTAATGTCTGGATAATTCCCTGGACCACAGTGTTTCCTGGCCGAGCTGCGGTCAGACAAAGTGTTAAACTGTTATTTCTGGGACAAAATCCACACTAGTAAAAGGCAGTAATTACTTACAGTATGTGAAGAGCTGTAAGCTGCTCTAAAAGCACGAGATGAGAACCGGGTTAAGTGTTCACAGTGTGATGAGCTGCTCCACTGACGCAAAAATGACACTCCAAAGATAATTTCTGGGTGATCTTGATTTGGACAGCAGATAGGAAATATTTCTGGCCTTGATATGGAAATCTGTTTGAGCTCACAAAAATTCCCTCAGGGCAACATCATCTGATGTCTTCTTTTATCCAATCCGCAATCAAACAAATATATTCAGGTTTAAGATACATAAATTGTGTTTGCATGCGTTCCCTCCGGGTACTCCGGCTTCCTCCCACCATCCAAAGACATTCAGTTTGTGGGGATAGGTTAACTGATTAATCCAAATTGCCCATAGGTGTGAATGCTTGTCTGTCTCTGTGTGTTAGCCTTGTGACAGACTGGCAACCTGTCCATGGTGTACCCCGCCTCTCGCCCTATGACAGCTGGGATAGGCTCCAGCACCCCATGTTAACACACACCGATTGCTCCAAACTTCTGCTTTTTAGAGGCGTTCACACTTGCTGATCACTGAGTGCATTTGATAAGCACTGCCTGGATGCTACTTACCCTCCTAATTCCTATGGCTGAAGTAGTTTGAGGTAGAATAAAACATATAAACTATATATTTAGATAATATATATTGTACATTAGTTATACATGTGCCCTTTGCACCTTTTTCTGGATTGTATAATGACAACATGTCTCAGCATGTGTGCACCAGCACAGTTGTCACGGAGACACCCACTTGTTCATAGTGACATTGCAGGAATCTTTGCGCGATCGAGTGATTGAATCGTGGCTTCTCTTGTGGCAGCAGCTGCTCCGATGCTGTTTGAGTGCCGTGTGTTTGCCTTTGTGAGCTCTGTTTGTGTCCGGCACTCAGACAGACGTGTGCAGCTGCTGTGAGCTGTGATGTCATTCCGTCAAGTTCACAGAGACTCGTCATTGTGTCATCTCGCAGGCTCATCTGAGTCGTGAGTATGGGTCTGTGTTTGTGCGCGACTTCTTGAACATATGTGCCTTAAACAGCTGTGTGTTGTAACTGTAAAGACCCAGTTCCAACAAACTGAATATGTACTGAGAATAATGTATTGTGTGTTCTAATGTCCATTGACACGAGCAGCTGCTTTTAAATAAAGCAGATGAATTGAGAATTGAAGTTTTTGTGACTCAGTAGCCCAATAGTGAGAGTTTTAGCCACGTTTGGGCTTGATAAAATAATGCTTTATGTATTGATTATGGATATGTTTATGGTTTAAACAGCCACTACCTCAGTATTGTATTTAGATCAGCTCAGCAAGTGAGAGATCTTTGGCACTGGAACCTTTCTGAATGTTTCGTCCCGCTACTTTTGATCAGTTATGTTTGAGCAGGCTTTGGTTGAGTGCAACTAAATAGCCCATGTGAACAGACACGGGCCAACGCAATATCTACCAACAGATAAAGTCTGGCAGCAGTTCAGCTTTTTATAGATAATCTGAATTATCTTCTAACGAATAGCAGCAGGTAAAGCACAAACAGTTTCATTAAGGGAAACCCTTTCCGATTATCTGCACAGTCGTCAGTGTACTGGAGCTGCACACAGGTGTAAGCTTTAATAGATGGCTGTGAGGCAACATAAATATAACTCTGTAATAACAGTCAGTAGAGTTATGGTTCAATTAAAATGAGTGAGCTCCACAATAAATCTGTGGCAGTGAATTTAATACCAAAAATTCTGTCACGTGTAAGTGAAAAGAAGAGAAACAAAGCAGAAAGGCTCCGATATTACACGTAATGCCAGATGTTGTTGATTCTCTATTGCAGGACAACTTTCTTTATTTTATTTTATTTTATTTTAGTTTATTAGTGTTGTGATGCAGACATCTTCCTCCTGAGATGCAGACAGAAATGTATTTTATTCTGCTGATGTCAAATTTTGAATGACTTCTAATAATATTTTTGGACAACTCACGTCATTGCTGTGTCTGTGTCGTCTCCAGGTGTGGCAAATTCCAGATCACGCTTTGACCCGCCCCCTGTCAGACCCGGTGGTGGTCTTGGAGGGACACTCCAAACGAGTCGGCATTGTCAGCTGGCACCCCACCGCACGCAACATACTACTCACTGCAGGCAGGACACAGAAACACACAAACCTCCAGTGTCCTCTTATGTTTTCATGACATCCTTCATATCTTTTTTTGGGCCCCCTATGTGACAGTAAATTACAACAAAACCTGAATAGGATGTCTATCTGTGTTTCGACTCCATCACCCTCCAGGCAGTGACAACCTGATAATTATCTGGAACGTGGGGACAGGTGAACCCCTCATCTCCATGGACGACCATCCAGACCTCATCTACAGCGTCAGCTGGAACCGTAACGGCAGCTTGTTTTGCACCACCTGTAAGGATCGACGTCTGCGTGTCTGTGATCCCCGCAAAAGAGAAGTGGTGGCGGTGCGTGAGTAGAAATTACAGATGGCTCGTCTTGGCAAAAAGGCTTTCCCACCGCTTTGGAGGAATTTTGGCTCATTTGTTTTTGCATAATTGTTTTAATTCAACCACATTGGAGGGGCTGAATAGCCTGTTTAAGCTCATGTGAAAGCACAGCAAATTGTTGAGGTCCTGAGGCAGCAAAGCAGCCCCAGACCATCACACTACCACCACTGTTGGTGTTAGTGTTCTTTTCATCAAAGGCTGTGTTAGTTTCATGTGAGACAAATATACAAAAAACTAAGAAATCATGTAAAAAGTATACTGTTTCACAGTATAAACTAATATAATGCAGAAGCTGTCTCAAAATATATTATTGGTATATATTATTATAAATAATTAGCACAATTATTCTGGTGACTATATTTTTATTTTTCTTATTGTTCAAGAATATATTAGCTCCATATAATTACTTGACTTCAGGAAACAGTGAAACACAAACTTTCATTAAACAGGCACAGAGACAGAAAATAAGGATTAACTTGAAATCTTTAGCTCTTACATTGTTGTAGTTATGTTACTAATGTCTGTTTCTCTGCTGACCAACAGGAACGTCTGGCTCCACATGAGGGCATCAGGCCAATGAGAGCAATCTTCACCAGAGATGGAAACATCTTCACTACAGGATTCACCAGGATGAGTCAGAGAGAGCTCGGCCTCTGGGACCCGGTAACAAATGACTACATTTCACAGAGTGGCTGTAAAAATATACACACTATAATATGAATCTACACAGAAACCTGTCAGTTTTCCTCACAGCTTGTTATTGTCCACAGACAAATTTTGAGGAACCTATTGCACTTTTGGAGTTGGACACAAGTAATGGAGTATTGTTACCTTATTACGATCCAGATGCAAATATGGTCTACCTCTGTGGAAAGGTACAGACATATAACTGTGACTTATTTTTACACTTAATTGTAGATGTATTATCAGCCTTAATGCTAACACAGTCACACTTGTTTTTACACTTTTTCATGTGTGTGTGTTTAGGGGGACAGCAGTGTCCGGTACTTTGAAATCACAGAGGAACCACCGTATGTTCACTACCTCAACACCTTCAGCAGCAAGGAGCCCCAGAGAGGGATGGGCTTCATGCCCAAAAGAGGTGTTGATGTCAGCAAATGTGAGATTGCCAGGTAAGATGCTGATCTTGCAGTGATTTCAACTTGAGTGCAACTTAACCGTGTAAGAAGGTGAATGAGCCAGCTGTGGTTCAGCTGGAGGTTGACTGGGTTGTATCCTTGGGCAAGATACTAGCCTAAATTTACCCCTAATGCATCCACTGGAGTGTCAGTGTCATCATGAGGTCAACACACTTAGGTATATAAAACCAAAAACTAAATTCTTTTAGGAATTATATTTAAAAATGCCTTAAGTGCTCAGGTAGACTAGAAAATAACTGTATAAGTACCAGACCACTATAACGTTTGCTATAAAAGTTTCAGCTTCTCCAGCGTCCCTACAGTTGCTGTTGTCTCTGCAAACTGCTTTGCAACCCACCTCCATCTCAGCTTCTCCTTTTTGGGCCTTTTTACTTTGTCTTTAGTATTTTGGTAATGCCTGCGCTCGTGTGCTCGCAGATTGAAATAGTAATCTTTGGTCCTGTCTGAAATCTAGTTTTTGAAAATCAATATCACAAGATGTCAAAGAATAAATAGTCACACGACTATATTTGGGCATATCTGCAGCAGCGATTCACAGCCCTTTTCATGTTTTAGTGATTCCACTGATTTAATGGATGTGTTGCCATTTTAGCCTTCAGATAAATGAAACAAATATGCAGTAGTTATTACATCAGTTATTATTGCAGACAATTTGGTCCATTAATTTTCTACTTAGCACAAGTGTTCATATTGGAAATTTCCATTTTGTTCACCTTAAAAGCTTCACCACTGAATGCTTTGTATTCTCTAAACACTGCTAAATGCTCATGAACCATAAACTCTCTGACATGGACATTTCTAAATATCAGAAATGATAGTTTATGTCTTTGCAGAAAGCTGCAAAAGTAGTCCTTTTTCCATATAGTTCTCATATACATCTCCATATGTGATAAACAATTATGTGACTTACTGATTGCAGGTGAGATTGATTATTCAGTTCTTATAGACAGACATTTAAAAATACGTACAACGACAACTGTGATAACTTGTGGCCGTGTCCTCTTTTCTCATCTTATCAGGTTGTATAAGCTGCTTGACAAGAAATGTGAGCCCATCACAATGACAGTGCCCAGAAAAGTAAGCCTGACTCACCCTTCCATTATGGTCTTCATGCTCTGCTGTGTTTGACTTTGACAATGGTGCAAGATGAAGATATCAGTCTTATACTTTATCGAAACAGAAATCCTGGACTTGTCACACCACACTTCTATCTGGCTCCTTAAAACTCAAACACGAATCAACCTTTGTCGCTGCAGTTTCATTTGAATACAGTTCAGCTGAATGGAAAACCATTAATGTTTACATCCTGCCACGAGCACCTTGTGAGGCTTCCTTCTGCACAGTGATTGGTTCTTAGCTGTAGTTTAGTGCAACGAAAGGCTTCTTCGACACACTGCTCCCAGTGTTTGTGGATTGTTTCTGATGCTATCCAGTGGAGGACAAATACACATGTTTGATATTAGGGATGAACTTGCAGCTTTACTTTTTACTTCACACAAACGTCTCTGTTGTCCCCTTGATCTTCCCTGTTGCACAGTCGGACCTCTTTCAAGATGATCTGTACCCAGACACAGCAGGACCCGAGCCCGCCATGGAACCCGAGGAGTGGCTTGATGGCCGAGATGAAGATCCCATCCTGGTGTCCATGAGGCAGGGCTACGTGCCGCCGAAGAGCAGAGAGCTCAAAGTGGTGAAGAAGAACGTCCTGGACTCCAGACCCACCACCCGACGCAGCATGTCCACTTTGGACACCAACAGCCTGCCGGTAAGCCCACTTCCTGCACCTCCTGCACATGAACTATTTTCAACATTAATTTAGCAGTATAAGATGACTCCTCTCTACTAATCTGCATTCACATTATAGGCTCCCAAAGCCTGGATGTATTTTTATACATCTTATGTATAACCATGTACAGCACAGTTGAATGATTTCTTAGTCCTGTAATCTGACTGTTGGTAAAAAAAAAAAAAAAGAAAGAAAGAAAGAAAAGAAAACAACAACAATAACAAAAAGTGACTCTGTTTTAACCCTTTTCTGTTTTCTTTTCTCTTGTAATTCCATCTGCCCACAACCTTTTTTGTTCAAAGCTTTCACCTGTTTTCATTGATTTCCTCTAGTCCTAGTCATCTTCCTTAACCTATTCTTCAAACATTTTCCTTAATTTCACCTTCTTATCACAGTCTTTTTTCCTTTCTGTTTCCCTTTTATCCTTCTGCACACTTGTCTCCCCTCTTCTCCTTTCCAGCCTCAGCTGCTTGAGAGGTTACTGGAAGAGATTCAGAATCTGAAGGCCACAGTGTTGTCTCAGGAGAAGAGAATCTGTGACCTGGAGAATAAGCTTTCCCAGTACACCAATGGCAGTGCCTGATGTGCATGTAAACATGGTCTGAAGAACTGGTCTGAATATTATTGACGAGGATTCACTCTTGTGAATGCTTATGAATGTGTACAAGTGACCATTCGACAGATTTGAGGAAATTGCATCTGTACCCCTTTCGATGGTTGATTCTATAAAATCTTTATCCCGGTTTTACCTTTCATTCTACTGCAGGATATTTTTTGGGATAATCACAATTTTACAGCGAAAAGGACGGAGGTGATGTTTGTGTGAAGGCACTGTAAGTTTGAGAGTGTAAGTTGGGTTAAAGGGATAAAAAAAAAAGGTTTCTATTAGAGAAAAAAGAAAATGTAGAAAACAGATTTAAAAAAATGCAAGTGCAAGACTTTTATAATTTGCTTCTATAAAAAATACAGGCCCGCTTCAAACCTGCCCACACATCCTCCCACTGCATGTGGAGTCACGGGTCTCGAAGTTAAGAAGAAACATTAACAGAGACATTTCCCCTCAAATCAGGATCTGGATTGATTAATACAGTCTTCACATAGAGTGAATTAAGATCATTCCTCAGCTGGCTTAAGCTGCCTGTTCTGATTCAGCTGCAGAAATTAAAACAACCTTTCTTAAGGTCAGGAAAAAAGTTAAAAACATGAAAAGCACAAATAAACATTACTTTAGAAGATCCTTTTTTGAAGCTTGAATTCACGTTCATTCTTTTATTTGTGTTTGCTGTGCTACGCACATGCTAAGACCATCACATGCCGTATTACAGAGCTAGTTCATGTCAAACGACAGAACTCATAGTATTTATGGGGATTTGTTTCCTGTTTCCTACACAAAACACGTGCTGACCTGTGATCGTTGTGCACTTGTCGTTGTCGAGGGCCTCGTGACCTCACCAAAACTAAATCAGTTTAGAAAGTTAATGCAGGAGACCCTCGAAGCGGCGTGAGAGTGTGCACGGGCTGGCTTGGAATCGGGATGCTGCAGTGGACATGCTCGCACCATCACTAAACACTCACAAAAAGCCACACAAACAAACAAGGACACATTTCAGCATTTCAACCCCCTGTGTCGCAGATGACCAGTTTATTTAAATAATGCTCAGAAAAATTTTCAATATGTAAATAGTGATAAAAGGAAACAGGAGAAGAAAATGTAGCAAAATGTGAAAAGAGAAACGTTTTGTTGTGTAAAGGTTATACATTAGACACATTATGACAACAATAAAAAGTGGGTTTTTTTTACTGCTTGACTTGTTCATTTCTTGTTGCCCCATTTCCACCATTAACATTTTTTTAAAATTTCCATCCAAAGAGCTTCCAAAACACCTGTTTTTACCTTTTTTAAAACTCTCACAAACTGTGAAAATGTGGAAACTGAGCAGTACAAATTAGAGCATGATAAATTAAGAAGAGCATTAGCTTCATAACAGATAGACAGAATTAAATACGTCAAGTTTCAATCAAAAATCAGTTCCCATATTAGCTGAGAAATCAGTGGTTTAAGATATGAAGCTGTATGTATGATCAAAATCCCCCCAAAAAGACATAACATGGATGAATAATGTTTTTATGCGTAATTATGGAAATATATACAGTACTGTAAACGTCTTGAGCCACTGACTCATTTCATAATATTTTGCTATGAAAACGAACTATGTGTCAACATAACACAGCCTGAACTGGTAAAATGGTAAATGGCATGTATTTGTATAGCACTTTACTAGACCCTAAGGACTCTCTTAGGCAGGCTTTCTGCTAATTCCTTTAAGTAGTCTTCAGGAACAGTTCTGCAGACTTCTGGAAAGACATTCAATGCTCTTCTTTGGATGTTGGCTGCCTTTTGTTCCGTTTTCTGCGAACAGGATCCCAAAATGCTTCAATAATGTTCAGGTCTGGTCTCCGGGGAGGCCAATTCATGATTGCTGTCTTTTTCTGTTGTGTTATTCTTTCCATCTCAGTTAATTCTCATAGCTCAACTTGCTGGTGCACAACTTGACAAACTGTGATATCTCTGGCATTTTTTTTTGTAGATTTGGCTAAAAAAGTGAGATCAAATTCTGTGTTTTTGCAAAAGGTTGTGTTGTAATAAAGGGTTTTAAATTCTTTGATAGGATGTCTGCTTTGAGCTAGCTGCCTTTCTTATGTTTCATTGACTCATAGGTCAGTGTAAACTGACCAGAAAGAACATTATTATGAAAATGATCAGGTACATGGACTGGACTGAAAAAGAGTGAAAAGGCACCCAATGTCCGAAGAAAAACTTCAGAACGTCTGGAGAAGTATTGATCAGGACTACTTGATACAAGTGAAATAGAAGAAAGTAAGCAGATTTTAAAGAAATTAGAGGTGGCATAATGGTTGTGCACAGTGCTGTAATATATTTCAAGGCATCAGTTTTTGTAAGTGCCTCCATACCACAGTAGCCAATATACTAGTAGTAGTTAAATGTCAAAAATAGAACTGATATAACTTATACATATATATTGACATACATAAATTATAGCTGTACCACACTGACATGGAGTCACTGGATGCCCATTTTTGTCAGAATGTGGAGTCCCACAATCACAATGCTGAGACAAAATAAGGGCGACCAAGTGAGCTTTGTGGCTTCAGAGACAGGAGATATTGTACCTTGCCTTCCGCTGTAGGAGCAGGTGGCTACATTACCCACGCGATCCACAACCTCTATCTCCATGTCAGGTGAACAGCAGGATGCGCTGTAGTACACCAGTGTTATGTTCTCATTGCTTGAATCCAGGGTGGTGTTTATGGTCCCGTTTCCTTGCTTGAGGGTGACAAGATCAACGCCCGTCCCATCAGCTCCATCAGTCACCCGGCTAGAGACCTCCCACATCCTCATGCTGCAGTTAACAGAGCAGTTGGTCTGCAGGCTGAGCTGCTCACACACTGGTGCCTTGAAATCGGTCACCTAAAAGGGGAAGGAAAATGCATGAAGTCAGCAAAAAGCCTGAATCTAAAGGAACTGCAACTTCCTCAATATTTGCTCTATAGAAATGTGTTTCTTTGTTACTTATGATTGGCTTAAAGTGATTTTAGTTGGTGCACAGCAGGTTAGCTAAGCATAAAAAAACCTTCAGGCCTGTAGTTTAATGAACAGAGATGATAAAATTTATTACAATTGACTTTTTTTTTCCAACAATTCTTTTTATTAATGATTTTTCATGAAATACCCAAAAAGGGGTAATGGAAAAGAAAATTATCCCTCCTTCATGGAGGGAAGCAATGATTTCCATTATACCAAAAGAAGGAAAAGATAAATTAGAATGTAGCAACTATCGCCCAATCAGTGTATTGAATATTGACTACAAGTTGTTTACATCTATTATCTCTAAGAGACTAGAAATGATATTACCTAGGTTAATACATAATGACCAAACGGGTTTTATTAAACATAGGCCAGGGACAACATCAGAAAGGTTTTGCACATATTGCGGCAAGTTGACAAACAAAAATTAGAGACCTTAGTGTTAAGCTTAGATGCCGAGAAGGCATTTGACTCAGTGAGATGGTCCTTTTTATACAAAGTGCTTGAGAAGTTTAATTTTGATACATCTATAATTGATATTATCTCAGAGTTATACAACAAACCAACAGCTAAAATCAAAATCAATGGGGACCTCACCGAATAATTTATATTGGAACGAGGGACACGACAGGGTTGCTGCATTTCACCGCTGCTTTTTGCTTTGTTTATAGAACCACTAAGTCAGTGGATTAGGCAGAATCAGCATATAACAGGAGTACGAATGCCAGGAGGGGAACAGAAATTAGCATTATTTGCTGACGACTTACTTTTAACATTAACCTGTCCCTCACAGGCACTCCCCCATCCTCAATCATCATATAGGTCATATAAAAAACATATAACTTTAACCCCAGTAATAACTAAAATGGATGCAATGATTATACATCGTGTCACCAAATGTCAATATGCCCTAAATGAATCTATAAATCAGAATACAAAGATGAACGCTATTCATTTGACTACACTCCAGATTGAATCATCAGATTAATATTCTTCCCGACTGCTTATTTTTCAGTCTCTACGATGCATACACAAAACAGTTGCGCATGGATAAACATTTCAAAAATTGAATAAAAAAGAAAATAAAAAAAAAAAAAAAAGGTCTTTTTACGAAATATTGTGCAGTCAGTAAACGCTGATTTGTCTTGTTGTCAAATACACCCGATAAAATTGAAAAAATAAAAAAATACCAGTTCAGTTTAATATCGGACATAAACTTGCAGAATAAAATACATATGGCAGATAAACCTATACTACAAATAATGATATCTGCTTGGAAAGAAGTAATAAAAATTGGTGGTTTGGAAAATGCCTCTAAGGTTTTAAGATGGTGTGCATATGATTCAGATTTTACTCCAAATCAATATGATAATAGATTCAAAAACTGGATTTCAAAAAGAAATAACTAATTATTATTCATTTGTCTATAAGGGTGCATTTCAAAGCTTTGAATCTTTAAGGAGTAAACATGACTTGGGATCAGATGATTTTTTTAGATATCTACAGATCAGAAATTATTTTAATCAAAACTTAAAAGTGAACCTAAACGAATTACAATTTGTAGAAACATTCTTATTACTAATCAAATCTGAAGTGCAAAGTAAAATTATTTCTAAATTATATAACAGCATCCAGCGGTGTAAAAACGACAGCACTCTGTATATTAAAGCGAAGTGGGAATAGGAGGGTAATTTGACAATTACAGAGAAGTGTTGGGCTCACGCATGCAAGATACAGTGGGCTACCACTGGGTCTAATGTTTGGCGTGAATTTTGCTGGAAAAGCATTATGAGATTTTTCATTACCCCTGCTCAACAAAGATATCGAGGAATTGGTGATAAATGTTGGAGATGTGGGGGAGACGGAGCGAACCATTTCCACATCTTTTGGGACTGTAAAGTTATTCGCCAGTATTGGTCTCTAATCCATGATCATTTACAAAATGTTTTTTCATTTGTTTTTCCTTCAACTTTTGAGACCATATTTTTGTGCAATGCACCAGTGGATAAACTGAATTCCAATGACAGAAGACTCCTGTATATCCTTCTGGCCGCAAGTAAAAAGCCTCTTACGAGAAGATGGCTTAAGCCTGAACCACCAATGATAGAAGACTGGATACATTCTGTACAAGAGATCTATACGATGGAAAAAATGTCATTTTCTCTTAAACTTCAGAGAGATACCTTCTACGGAATATGGTCTAAATGGACAGACTATGTTAAGCATATGAGGTGTGATTTTGTATATGATGTTACAACCCTGAGTAGTACGTAAACCTTCCTGCCCTGCTGCCTCCTAACCCTAGTTTTTTTTTCTCTCTTCTTCTTTTCTTTTCTCTTCTTTTTTTGTCTTCTTTATTTTTCAATTATAAGTTAAAATGTGACAGCAAAGAAAGTGTAAAAAGGTAAACTACTGTTATGTTCAACAGCTGTCCCAATAAAAGAGATAATAATAAAAAAAGGAAATACCCAAAAAGCTTAAAACAAAAAGTTTACAGTTATAGTATTACCGTGTTAAGAACGGAGAAGCGCAACACAATGTAGTTACTGTCTGTGCCCCCAGGAGCCTCGGCCTCAATAGCCAGGCTGACATCAGTTCCAGATGTGGTATTCAGAGGTGCTGAGAGGGTCACTGTGCCATTATTAGTGATTCCAGGCTCCAGGAACATACTGGTTGGAAATGTAGAGTCGAACCCTCTGCTGTTGGTGGATCGAATTGTGAAGTTTCCACCTGTTCCACTCGTCATCAGAGTGAAGGGCACAGAAAATAGCGTTCCGGGTACTATGATGGTCTCTGGATTAGCCTTTACAAAGAGAGAGTACATTTATAGAGATACTTATTTGAGCTGCTGCATGTTTTTCCATGTTTGATTTGATGCTTTTGTGTCACAAAACAAGTCGTGGATTGCAGCTCACATTTATCGTCAGATTTGATGATCTGAAGTTGGTTGGTGACTGTCTCTGGAAGAGTATTAAAGCCTTGGAGGTGAAACTATCAGCTTGTCCCTTCACCTGCACCTCAAAGTCCTCTGATGGAAACTTGTCAACCAGAACCAAGATGCTTGCATTGCTCTGCGGCACCAAGACTCCTTTAATCACCTCTGACCCAGATGATCCAACCAGAGTGACTTCTGTCACCGTGGCAGTGTCACTCCCCGTTAAAGACATCAACAGGCTACCATTGCCACCTTTCAAGAAAAAGTCAATTCATTACGTCTAATGTTTTAATGGTATGTTACATTTGCAGATCACCAAGTCTTAACAGTTGCCTTTACCAGCACTGGGACGTGTCGCCAGGGTATCAAATCCTCCAAAAGGGCCCTGTGACACCACCACTAAGTCAAAGAAGAAGTCGATAGGACTCTGACCTAAAAATGATGAGGGGGTTAAAAAAAAAAAACGAAAAAAGTCAAATATATGGAGGGCCTGGAGACTAATGGCAATGGAAATAATGCATTTCATGAACTGATAATTCTGAATACGACAAATACTTACAAATAACATAATATCTAAATAAATTCTAACTATTATATGATTAAAATAAAATTAAAGACTTTTTTTTTTAATTCTAAATGATATATAAATTGGGCAGCACGGTGGCACAGTGGTTAGCACTGTTGCCGCACAGCAAGAAGGTCCTGAGTTCAATTCCACCATCAGGCCGGGGTCTTTCTGTGTGGAGTTTGCATGTTCTCCCCGTGTTTGCGTGGGTTCTCTCCGGGTACTCCGGCTTCCTCTCACCGTCCAAAGACATGCAGCTTGTGGGGATAGGTTAATTGGATAATCCAAATTGTCACTAGGTGTGAATGTGCGAATGAATGTGAATGCAAATGGTTGTTTGGCCCTGTGTGTTGGCCCTGCGACAGACTGGCGACCTGTCCAGGGTGTACCCCGCCTCTCGCCCCATGACAGCTGGGATAGGCTCCAGCGCCCCTGGAAAGGATAAGCGGAAGCGGATGGATGGATATATAAATCCATAAAAAAGAGGTTCAAATAGGATGGGTTTATGGAAACACTAACAATAATAAAGAGTTTGAATTAAAACTTCAAAAAACCTTTTTAATAATTTAAAAATGAAATCTAAAGCATAGTGAATAGATTCAAGAACCAGGAATTAAGAATACAGAATTTTGTTTTTATTCAGACTTTTAAAAATATAGTTCCTTTTCCTCTTTCTATTTCCACTTCCTGTTGGTGTTTGAATATGTTGAGTCATTAGCATTTCCATTTAGCCTTTAAGACAACGAAAATAAATCCTCACAGACTACTTACGTTTTTCTAGGCTGCCCAAAGACCTGTGCTGCCAAGGAAACTTTTTAAATAAGTATGAGATCTTTCATGAGGCTATTTTGCCTTCATATTCACTCTCTCAACATTTCTGGCAAAGAATTTTAAGGAACACAGCAGTGAAATGGATCCTCACAGAGTATCCACTGGTGCTGCTCTTCGCCCGATAATGTGTTAAAGCTAACATGCTAACATTGCTAACGCTAGCAGCCCTTCATGCTCCACTAATCTAGTAGCAACATACAAAATTTACAGGAATTTGGACTCTAAGCCATGAGATTATTTTAGTTTTGGAAAGACTTTTAAGCTTGTAAGCTTAAAGTTTAGCTTGTAAAATAATCTAATATTTTTTCTGAATTACTTATTTTTATACATCAACTGGTAAAAAATATTAATTTAGCATAGAATAAACTAATTACAGCAGAACACGAACATGCTAAATTTAAAGCTTGATAGTGTAGTTAGATTAGTATCTTAAGTTAGCTTATATAACAGCCGGGCAGCACGATGGTACTGTGGCCACCTCATAGCAGACGGTTCTAGGTTTGAACCACTGGTAAAGGAGTCTTCATCCATATACATGGATGGAAATTAGCACCAGGCGACTGTCTGTGCTTGAATGTAGCAGTTTTCATAGTGTAAAAGTGTAATCTTTTGACCTATACAACACATGGACCACTGGAATTTCATTGTCATTGCCAGTACTTTGTTTTATGTGAAATCAAAAAGCCCTTAAAGAACTTTTTAAATAATAGAATTGGCTTAGTTCTAGTGAATCAATAGCAAAACCATTTCTGATTTTCTGTTGTTCAAATATACATACAATAGATTCTCTGCATTGCTCTACTCTGGCTGATAAAATCTAAGTATTTTAGATTTTTTTCCTTTCATTCATTAACAAAATATGAGATACATGAAGATGCCATGTTACTGACATGCTAACTGTAATAATGCAGGTATGTCTAACCTGTATTGTTACTGTGAGCATTCCCTGCACATGTGCTGGCATCATAGCAAGTGTGCTAGAAATGTTCACCATCTCCTAGGATATAGCATTATTAGTCAAATAACAAAATAAATTCATGTTTTTACACAAAACACAGCTACAGGATGTGAACACTAATAACAGTGCAATTATAGTTTTAACAACGTTTCCACTCGGGTGAGAGGTAACTGAACTGAACTTGGCTCAGACAGGACAGGACATGCCAATCATATTTTAAGAGATCCTTTTAGGGGTTGTCATAGCTCACCCGGTTGAGCCAGTTACTTATGATACAGAAGATGATGCAAGTGTTTGGTTTTAGACCCATCTAAAACTGCTTGCATGTTATCCCCCTACCTTTCTGCTTTCCTATCTACAACGCCAGACATCAAATAGATGCAAACTCTATTCGTTTTTATTAAAAACTTTGTTGTAATGGTAATTTAGTACATCCATTCTGACAGCTTATTAGTTCATTCAAACCTATACCTCAAGGCCCCAGGGATAAGAAACAAAAGTATCGACTGACAGTCTCACCTATGACCTTCAGAGTGTAGGGGTTACTTGACACCATTCTCATTTCCCATTTTCCAGTTTGTTTTTTTAGCTGCAGGGACCAGAAGTTTCCCACAGACTGGGATGTAATGATCAGTGACCCCATTGTGTCACTGCTATCCTGAGATTCACCTGTTAGAACACAGATAGAAAACAGACTATTTTTAGGAATTTATTATTAAATGATAATTTTTTTAACATCAAAAATTAGGGTTACTGCATATAGTAGTTTTAAACATCTTTATCAATATTTATGTAACAAAACAGCATTTATCACCATGATAAATGCTGTTTTGTTCAAAAATGAGGCAAAATCTGAATTTGACTACTGTGTAAACAGAATGTAGAGGACAGTATAGACTGCCACTGCTTTGTTGGGCAGGCTCAGAAATGACGTCATGACCGACGAATAGTAAAAACTCTTTTTTATTTCAGTCAACAACAACAACAACAAGTTGACTGAAATAAAAAATTTCAATTCAATTTTTCCACAGTCCTTCAGAATAGCATACCTGTGGGGCTAATGAGAGTAAAAGTGATGGATTCCCCAGTAACGTAAACTGTAGGATTTGTTACCGAGTCATCAATCATAAAAGTGAAGCTTTCAGCCTTTCCTGGGTTCCTGGCTGCTTGAAGAAGGGTCACCTGGAACATTACAGTAAGCACTTACATTAAAGAGCTGAAATCTTTGAAATGACAAATCCAGCCAGTAGTGAGATGTTTGTGAAATTACCAGAGAGGCGTTGGAGGACTCCTTTATGATGGCTGTGGCCTGAGGAAGTTGACTCTTTGTGATTTCGATAGCTTGGCCTCCTGAAGCCTGAGCCAGATCTCTGTACAGCTGAGCGTCAGCTTCTGCTATCCTATTGGATGGAGCACGCCGCTTCCGACTGTTGACTGATGATGTGTCAGTTATCATAAAATTGACCTGAGAAGAAAAAAAGGTGCATGAAAACAAGCTTAACCAAATCATAAAGCCTTTACAAACAATTAGACTGAGTTAAAAAAAAAAAAGAAGGTAAAATACGACCATTACACTACTTTATTTATACATCTGCTTGTAGCAAAACATGCCCATCCCTGTTTCAATGACGTTTAAAAATGTAATCATCATTAAGATAAGTGTGTTATATTCTTAAACTACTACATACCACCGACTGGGTCCTCTCTATGAGTGCGATCACTGTGCTCTTCAGGTTTTTGTCTTTAGCGGCTGCGTCCGTGAAGAGGAAGATCTCAGAATTTGATGGAGCAGCGCTTAAAGCCAGCTGTGTGAGGAAAACCGCTTTGAATAATAGTTTTAGGTAAAACAACAAACATGCATCGAGCTTTTAAAATTACAGAACATATATCACTTCACCTGAAGCCCTGAGAGACTCATCTCCGGTGGATCTCCTCCACCGGTGGCTACAAGAGAATCAATCGCATTCTGGAAAACTGCTGAGTTTGTTGTCTTTGTCAGTGGTCCGAAGCCTGTTTGATGACATGAGTCAAAGTCAATATATATACTACTATTGTCCATTGTCACCTTATGAATTGGACAGAACAGTAACATTTCAGAACATTCAGAAAAGAAATTCGTAGCATCTCAGAGATCCTACCTGGATCATTAAATGGTACAAGAATGTACAGCGAGGGCTCATTGGCTGTTCCCACATCACGGTTGATTATAGTGGAAGTGACATTTTTCACTGTTGCAATGTCATCTTTCATGCTGCTTGTGGTGTCGATGACAAAACAAAGAGCCTTACTGGATCCTTTAAAGAGACCCATCATCCTGGGGGAAGGAGATGGAGAGAGATAAATGATAAAATGAACTTCTGCACCACAATGAACTGAAACACACAGAGCGTTTGTACCGCAAGAATGGTCTGTCACCAGCAGCCCCCCGAATGTCCTCTAGAAGCTCACTTGTTGCAGCTATTGCAATGTTTGCAGCTTGAGTGTGGAGATACCCATGGCTGGAACTCTCTTTGTCTTTGTTGATCCCACCTATAGGCTCGATCTTACTTGTCTGATCAACTGCCCCTCCATGACTGCATTTTCCTGTTCAGCAAATATTGCGAGAGAGGAATGATGAATACTTAAACACAGCTCTTTTTCCTTTTAACTTGTGTATTTAAGGGCTTGTTTCACTGAAGCTGACTTCCTCTTTTGTCTTGGTAAGCTTTTGGCCTGTCTGCTTAGTATATGATTTTTGTTCTTCCCCAGTCTCATTTCTTTAATAAGTCTCAGCTGTTTCCACTCCCCCTGAACACCCTAATTTATTATTGCTGTCTCAGCTTCTTCTTTGCCAGAGTGTCTGTTCACCTATCCCTTGTGGCTACCACCACCAGTGTTAATTACCCAGTTTAGGTTCTGTAAGTTGGAGTTCTTAATTTTATTTTCTGTTTTTTGTTTGTATTCTGGTCTCAGTAAAATGGTGTGTTTTCTCTGTAACTCCTCCTCCCTGTGAATCTGCTTTTGGATCCTCACATTTAACACATGATAATAAAAAAAAAGGGTTGTTATGCAATGTGCGACTTGGTTCATGAACTGGAATTACTTTTACACCATTGCTTTGGTGTCTCTGCAGCAGTTAGAAAAAGTTTTTCAGTTGATTTATCTGATGGATCCTTTGAGGACATACAGTAAGCTGTGTGTCAGTTGGATGTGCAGTACTCTGACTCAGTGTGATAAACTCTAAAGCAACAACTGAAGGCCAGGATGAATAATATTCCTTTTGTCCATAAGAGGAGGGGGTGGAAAATCTCAGAGTGAACGGCTGCTGTTTATTTCAAATCATCCTCAAGAAACTGTGATTGTGTTTTACTGACACTGTGATTTTGGATGAGACAGGTTTTAAAGGCACTTTTTTTGTTTCATATTTTAACTTAAGTAACGTGTACTAATGAAATACTATTTAAAGGATACTTTTTTATGTTATTTCACAAGGATGTTGGTTTATCTCTCATGTGCAAGAACCAATAACTAAAGTCTGTTTTTTCCATTCAAAAACTCACACAATCTGAAGAGCAGAGTGATGGCTGCTGTCGGTGATATTTTATTGGATCATAATGGTGCAATCGTATTTGCCCATTTAAATACAGCTATTTTTAAATACTGCTTTGACTCTTTATAAACTGAGTATAGTTTACAGTATGCTGACATCATTTAAATGAGTTTTTTCATTCACTCATGATAAACCGTCCTGTCCTGTAAGTATGAATAATTTGAACTGGTCAGTACGTCAGGTGGACGAGAATTTAGCGAAACTGCAAGAAGTGTCACATTTGTCTTTTCAAAGTGCCAGTGAAAGGACAAATGTGGCTTTGACCTTGAGGACATTGTGCATGCAATTAATGACCAATACTGGAGGAGGAGGAGCAATTTTTGTGAATTGTGGACGAATGATGAGACATGCATCGCCACAGCATGAGCTCACTGATCGTTTAGCCAGATGAGCTGATAAAACTTCAAAGTAATTGTAACTGTCAAGACAAATGTGGGTTAAAAAGCCATTAAAAAGTGCTGTAACTGCAATTTCAAATGCAGTGAAGTGGGATTAGAAGAATAAGTAATAGTAGAGTTAAAATAGATTTTAGTATGTAGGTTTTAGGTAAATCTCAGGAAAATCAGTGACATGTGAAGCCTCTTCTGAGTGTGGGAAAACAATGATGGTTTTGTAGAAGAGCGAAGCCCTTACCCTTTGGTTTCAATGCAAATACAGGCGTGAGACTAAAGTATCCAGATGTCAGGATCTTCTCCGCTATGATATCCTCCAAAATGTTGTTGCTGCAGTTGTTGCCGTCACAGCTGCGGCAGGTCGCCCTGCTCCTAGCTGGGAACATGTAAATCAGCATTTAAATTATGGCCTTGTTTTTTTAAATCTTTCTACTCTGAGATTGAATGATAGTTTTATCTGTATAATCTGTATGTCAGTACGGGCATCTCATCATACTATCTCTTTACCTGCTATGTTCCCAATGCTGGCGCCAGATTTGATTAGATTGGAGTTGGGGCTTTTTTCTCCCAGTTCTACCCAGTTGCTGTGACTGTAGAAATCCTCCAAGCGATGAAAAAAAATAGGGTTATTATTTTACTCTGTTTTTGTTTGGTTTTTTGTTGTTGTTTTTAAACAGCAGTAAGTAATGATAAATACCTGCAAAGGATGCAGAATTTCTCCCAGGTTCTGCCTCGCTGCCTCATAATTCTCCAGCTTGTTGCTTGCTTTGACCGCCTGTATTCCCTCTATGATGATTTTTTTTCCTTGAACAAACATCTCATCATCAAAGTGGAAGCTGGCATTCAAGGCATAGCGGATGTCCACACGCACATTCCTGTATATGATGTGCAGAATGGACCGAACGAAAGTTTTAGATGACTGAGGTGCACCACAGGCCGTAGCAACACCCTGTATGGTGAAAGGCTGTGCCTAAACACACAAAGGAAATCATGTTGACATTACTGTTTTAAAAATCCTTGTTTCTGTTCATTTAACTTCAATGATTTGAGTTCTTACAGGGAAAATGAAGTCTGTCCCTTCAGCCTTAGCAAATGCTCGGCACACCTGCACAGTCACATTAAACAGGGCCTGCAGAGTGATGTCCAGGTGAGTCAGAGAACTGCCTGGCAGAATGTCAAAACCCAGAGCTCCAGTGCAAAGAAGCGAGAGCAACAATGCAGACGGCCACACAGACTTCATTGCTCCACCTGTCACACAACATGAAGTGGCAACATAAACATGTAATTACAGGCGTATGATGCATACAGGTTAAAAGTAAATATTTTTGGATATGCTGATTTTTAGGAATCACAACTGTCACCATCAATCTCATCAACCTGAGCATTTATTAGAATAAATGCTGAATTGTACATCTCAAACTGTACAGTAGGATTAAACAACAATGAGAACAAAGTCACAGCGATCCTCTGAAGCACTTGTCTATTTTAATAAGAAGAAAAGAAGGAATCTTTTAATCCTTTAATGCCCAGTGTATCATATTTAAAACATGAGTTTTTTGAGACTTCTACATCGTCAGTGTGCGTTTTTTTTGTTCGTTTTTATCATATTTTTCACAAATATGATAAGAATCCATCCGTCCATCCATCTTCATCCGCTTTATCCAGACCTCCCTCTCCCCAGCCACCTCCCCCAGCTTATCCGGTGGAACACCAAGGCGTTCCCAGGCTAGCCGAGAGATATAATCTCTCCAGCGTGTCCTGGATCGGCCCCGGGGCCTCCTCCCAGTGGAACATGCGAACCGTTCCAGTGCGAGCTGGAGGCCTTCACCCGATGAAGCCAACAGAACCACATCATCCGCGAAAAGCAGAGATGAGATTCTGAGGCCACCGAAGCGAAAGCCCTCCGCCACTTGGCTGCGCCTAGAAATCCTGTCCATAAAAATTATGAACAGAATCGGTGACAAAGGGCAGCCCTGGCGGAGCCCATCACCCACCGGGAACGAGTCCGACTTATTGCCGGCAATGCGAACCAAGCTCTTGCAACGGTTGTACAGGGATCGAATGGCCCGTAGCCATGGGCCAGACACCACATACTACCGCAACACCTCCCACAGGACACCCTGAGGGACACGGTCGAATGCCTTCTCCAAGTCCACAAAACACATGTAGACTGGTTGGGCAAACTCCCATGCACCTTCAAGTATCCTTGAAAGGATAGAGAGCTGGTCCAGTGTTCCGCGACCAGGACGAAAACCGCATTGTTCCTCCTGTATCCGAGGTTCGACTAGCGGACGAACTCTCCTCTCCAGCACCCTGGCATAGACTTTCCCAGGGAGGCTGAGGAGTGTGATCTCCCTGTAGTTGGAACACACCCTCCGGTCCCCTTTCTTAAAGATGGGGACCACCACCCCGGTATGCCAGTCCACGGGTACTGCCCCTGATCTCCACGCAACATTGTAAAGTCGTGTCAACCAGGACAGCCCTACAACGTCCAGAGCCTTCAGGAACTCGGGGCGGACCTCATCAACACCAGGGGCTCTGCCACCAAGGAGTTGTTTAACTGCCTCAGTGACCTCGCCTCCGGAAATTGACGGGTCATTCCCCTCATCCCCAGACTCTGCTTCCTCCTCGGAAGACGTGTATGATAAGAATTTTTTTTTAATTGTCAGAGGTTGTCTAAACACAAATGAGAACTTTCTGGCAATTATTTTAGTTAAAGCGTTAAGTTCTCAATATACTATTCTGGCAATAAACTATTTTTATTGAATTCTCTTTAAATTCAATTCTATATAAATGTTGAAATTAAAGCAGTAATTCAAATAGTTAAACTCTGACTCAAACACTCAAAAATGCCAAATTATTCTAAAATGTTATAATAAATCAATAATAATAACACCATCTCAGAAATACTTCTACCACATTTTTATGCTGCTACAACAGCTACTAAAATCAAGCCTCTATCTTTCAGATGTTTCGCCAACAATGAGTTAAAGGATTACTGACCTTGTTGCTGTCCTGTGAACTGGAAAGTTATGTTGTCAGCACCTGCTTTTATGTTTCCTAATTGCCAGGGCGGGGTTAGAAGGACTCGCTCTACCTGTCTAACCTTTGTCATGATCAGTCAGTAAGATTATTATGCGTTTAGCTTTAATATACACTATAACACAATTGAATCAGAAATATGTGCGCTTTAAACTTTAGACTTCAAGTTTATTACTGTTAAACTGCTATTTTAATATAGTATATTAACTCTAAGAAATTTCCGTTTCCATTCATTTTGAAAAAAATGAGAAATATGGAGTCTTAAATTTACCCTTTTACACTTTAACTGGCTTGAACAGACTGAAAGGTAAAAATATAATAGAGTAAAATATATTCAAATGCATGGAGTGTATTTGTCTTAGTTTGGATACATTTACATCTGCCCTGACTCGCTCCACTGCCACTGTGCCCTTAGGAGGTTCATCAGGGGCGCGTTATTATTTGTAGAAATACCAACGTGCATACTTTCATTTTAGCACTGCGCCGAGCGAGAAGCTGAACATCATGAAAATGCGGTCAAGCTTACATTAACACATAATGTGGAGGGTGAGACTTTTAGTGAAGACAGTACATTTTAGTTCTGCAGGCATGAATTTTAATCTATGATTTTTATCAGCAGCTACTGTATTATTATTTACTTTTGTTATGTAAGTAGACTGGCATTCACACACAAAAGTACACCATGTGGAGACAGAACACTTGAGACACCCCTCATTTCTTCATATTTTGTCAGGAAAATTGGAAATAGTAGTAGGTAGTCTTCAGGAATAGTTCTCCAGGCTTCTTGAAGGACATTCAGAGCTCGTCTTTGGATGTTTGCTTGCCTACTGTTTTGTTTTCCGTCAAGATGATCCCACAAATGTTCAGGCCCAGGCTCCAGGGAGGCCGATCCATGACTGATTCCACTGTGTGTTTTTCTATTTAGATTTAAATAAAAATAGGCAGTGTGTTGGGGATAATCCCCGTCTTCATAATTCTGTAACCTTATTTGTGGCATACATTTATTTAATTTGTGTATATTATAATAAAAATATTATTATTACATTTTGCAATGATGTTTTATGATTTTACATATTTGTCTTTCTTATGCTGATGTTTTCTGTAAAAGCTCATTTGGATTCATCACTTTTCTGTTCTGTTCTTATTGAAGAATGACTTGTGTGTCATGAGGTGATGAATGACTCAGGATGAAATCCTTATTAGGAGCCTCTGAAGTGGTTCAGGAGGATTTCAGTATTTTTGCTTGTAATCAATAAATTTAACATTTTACTGGTTATCATATGGTTATCTTTCCTAGAGGGGAGGAGTACACTACCCCAACCAGTCCTACCTGTCAGTCCTCAGTTGTGTATACTTTTTAAAAAAATGTCACAGTCAAATTACCAGTAATGTACTGCATACTAATGGTAATTATTACACACTTTGAACCGTAAGAGTCACTGAAAATACAATTTTTGCAGGTAATTAAAAATAGTTATATTTCATCTTCCGTGATTATAAACCAACACTAACAAGCATTCATCTTTGATTAAAGAATATAAATCTTCCTCCAAAATCAAACTGTGAGCGGAAATAAAACATTACTTTAAAACTTCTTTACAGATTTTTAATGAGAATAAAACTGTTGAAGGAAATTTTACAGTGACCGTTCTTCAGTGCAAAAATATACTGATATTTGCATTTAAGCCGTTGTTAAAAATAGAGTCGAAATGATTCCAGGAACAGAATAAGGTCCAAGACTATGATCATTTAAGATTTAATGGCTCAGATTTATGTGGCTTCTGTTTGCTTGATTTTTATGTGAGCTGGTAGTAAATGATTTATGGAGGGAGGAGAAAGCAGGGGCAGCAAGTGCAGAACAACTAACATTTGCCCCGGCCCTCTTTTTTCTCTCTCTTTGGCAATCTTTGAAAACTTCTCTTGAATCTCTCTGAATTGGAAAAAGGAGACGACGATACAGAGCAACAGATTGCGTGTCAGGCTGGATTTTCAGGTTCCTGGAGAAACAAGTAAGATGGCCGTTAACTGTTTTTGAAGAAATAAAAGTCAAGATATTCAAAGAAAACACTGGATTAAAATACATCATTTTGCATTTACAAATGGCATCATTTGTAGGGGATTATTTCCTCTTTTTGTTCCCATCCGTGCTACTTTTGCTGCTGTCTCTAACTCTCCGCTTGCCCAGAGTGCATTGTTGGACAGGGCTGGCAGTCAGGGCTTTAAGCTGGAGACTCTGGGTTATTATTTGCCTGATCCTGGGGCTGCCACTTCACAAGAACACCAGTGCAAGGGCTGAAGAGGTCAAATCAGCAGGGACTAATATTTTGTCAGGGTCAGGTCAGATCTCAGATGAATCCAGACTCATATGCAAACCCACCGCGCTGGCTAAATATCTGCTCCGGCACTGTGGCTCTCTGGCCAAGCCGAGACTGGCCACCTGGCCGAGGGGAGACCCCCACCTCCAGACACTGTCCAGCCTGCTGTGGGGCCAACATGGAGAGGCGTTGCAGTTCACTAGAGACAACCTGCTACTGAAAGATGGGGGAATCATAGCTGTGGACTGGGCTGTAGGAACAAAGATGGGTGAGGCTGCCACAAGAAAGAAGTGGGATGTGAGGAAGGAGCACCAGTCAGGGGTGAGGGCACCGGGCTGCTTCACCTCAGCACCCCCTGTCCTCCTCCTCATCCCTCAATACTGGGGAGGGATGACCCCCCACTTAAAGATGCTGTGCCAACAGGCTCTGTGTCAGGGCTTTTATGTGGTGGTCTTTCACCCTCGGGGCACAGAGGGGTGCCCGCTGACCACAGCACGAGTAACCGAGTTTGGAGACCCAGCTGATCTCGAGCAGGTAAAGAAAGACAATTTCATTATCAAACAGAAACTGTTGGACAAAGAAAATCCACACCTTCTGTCTAAGACATGATTAAAATTTTAACTCTTTTAATGGAAATGATTGTTTGTTTCATTCAGCTCAGTGTTGATAAGGTATTTTAGCTTTTTGTTTGTTTGTTAATTTGGTTTACTTTCCGTTAGTTTCCAGGAAAGATTTCCTTGTTTCGGATACGTTTTTTTTAATTATTAGGTATCACAAATAAAGTTATGCTGATCTGAAAGTGACACTGAGTTAAAAATGTAGGTCATTTTCAAGAACATTTCGTGACACCCACACACAGACACACACACCACAAGAAGCTCATTGA